GGTCTTGTATGTGTGTCAGGTGATTTGTTTTAAAGAGCTTGAATGGGGCGAGGGGGCCGAAACAAGTGTCTGGGGATTCCATGAACAGGCTCTGCTGGCTCCCACTCTGAGTCTCTGTGTGTGCTGTTGACCAAATTATCACTTCCTTCAGGAAGCCTCCACCGATGCTCCTCAGCTCCTCAGCTAGCCTGGGTCCCGGGCCTCCCTGGCAGGGCACAGTGCAAGCCAGGCCCAGGGTAAGAACCCAGGACCCTCCCTGTTTTTGACTCCCTTCTTTCTCTCCTATCTTTAAATGTCTATTAGCTTATTGGGGTCTTTGAACCTTGCAGAAATCCTTTGTGGAACAAGGCACTGTATCAATAAAAGAATAAAGCAGGCAATTACTGTTTGCTGAGTTGAATGGATTTGCTCTATCTCTCGGCTCCAAAGCTCGCTGGTCCTGGAGGAGATCTTGGAGAGGGGCTGCTGAATGAGTGTGTGCCCCTGAAGTTAGAAAGCAAAGCTGGGTCCCAACAGTCTTGGGGTAGATGGACACTGGGTGCTGAAAGCCTCCATGGCAGGGGCCTGGCAATTCCACACGGAGACCAGGTCATGTGCATATAGGATATCATTTATTCAGCCAATCAGTAATTCACTTAGCAAACATTTATTGAGCACCTACTGTGTGCCAGTCACTATTCTAGGGGGACACAACAGCAAACAAAGTGGACCAAATTTCTTGTCCTTCAGGAGATACATTCTAGGGGAGGGAGAAACAATGGGCAAAGAAGGAAATAGATATATGGTTCATCTTAAGTGCCCCAGAGAGAGATTCAGCTGGGAGGGGTGTGGGATGGAGGTTTGAGACAGGGTGGCCGGGACTGACCTCAACTGATTGGTCTCTTTTTATGAAAGACTTAAGGAAGCGAGAGAGTGAGCCAAGAGATGTTGGAAGAAGAGCGGTGCATGCAGAGGGAAGAGCCACTGCAAAGGCCCTGAGGTATGTTTAAAGAATACATGGAGGCCAGCACGGCTGGGCACAGTGAGCCAGGGAATAGGGGGTGAGGCTAAGGGACCTGAGGGCAGATTCAGGGCCCTCCCTGGCCACAGTGAGGCCTTCAACTTTTACTCTGAGCCGGGAGGGAGCCGTGGGACAGTTTTAAGCAGATTGAGGACATGACCTTCGTGGGGGGTTTTTGTTTGTTTAATATTGGAAAATCTCAAACATGTATGTAAATAGAGAGAACAAAAAAAATAAAGCCCAGCATGTGCATCATGGCTGAGGTTTTGGTTTGTGTGTTTTTTAATTAAAAAAAAATTAAGATAGCATCTATATACAGTAAGCATTACGCTTTTCAGAGTATAGTTTTGACAAGTGTATACCCTCATGTAGCCAGCACCACACCTGGTTGTAAAGCAGCTTTATCAGCCCTCTGCCCCGTGCCCCTTAACCCTCCCCACCCCACTGCCAACTTAACCTTCTGTCCTTGTCGGTTTGCCTTCTCCAGCATGTCATACAAATGGGATCATGGAGCATGTTGCCTTGCCTGCCTGCTTCCTTTTTGGTGTGATGCCTTTGTGATTGGCCTGGGGTGCTGAGCAGTCTGTTCCATGGAGTGGCGTGTCAGCCTATGTTTTGAAGATCCCTCTGCCTGCCACATGGGGGGAGGACCATGAAGGGGAAATGCAAGAGGCAGGGGACCCCTGCACTAATCCAGATAAACAGTGACAACAATGACCAATGCCTATTGTCCTGAGCTCTTCAACTCTCACAGAAATGCCATGTGGATGGGTGCTATTATCAGCCTCATTTTACAGATGAGGTTAAGTAATTTCCTTTGGCTACATGGCTGGCCAGTGGCAGAGTCAGATTCAAACCCAGCATCTTTCTGCTCTGTACCCAAGAGTGTGAGTCTCTGTAGGGCACCCCGAGGGGCTCCATGGACATTTGCAGATGTTCTGATCCACAGTGGTGGGGCCAGAGGCCACTGACTCCAGGGAGGCAGACGAGCTTGGCCTTAGAATCCTAAAGGCCAACCTCAACTGCCACCACCACCAGGAGACCCTACCTTGTGCAGGTAGCTCACAGGGTTGGCACCCACTGACGCTATTGCCCTAGTGCAGGAGAGAGGAACTGAAGCTCTATAAGGAAAGGCGGTCCCAGTAAGTGGCAGATTGAGAATTTGAACCAGTCTGTCTCTTGAGCTTCACTCTTAGCACCTCAAATTCTAATCCCTGGGCCTTGATTTCCTCATCTGTGAAACAGAGTTAAGGGGCATGAGTAACTTCATCAAGTGTCCTGAAAGGGGCATGAATAACTTCATCAAGTGTCCTGATGTTGGAGGCTGAAACCTGAGCAGGCCCTGCTGTGCACCCCCATGGTAGTCTCAGGCCCCCTCTGGCCCTCCCCTCCCTTCTCTCAGCCCCAGCCTTCCAGGACCTGGGCTCTGTCAGGTCTGGGTGGAACCAATGTGGGTGGGGTACGGTGGAACGCCTGCTCTGGCCACAAGCCCAACGTTCTTCCCATAAATGGAAACTGATCAAGAAGATAAAAGTCCCTGGTAAACTCCCCTCTGAAGCCCTGCCCTGTTCACAGTTTGGCTGTGTCCTTCTAGACATCTTCTTGCTCTTGCAGTTGCCCACCCATTTATTCGTCTCACTCGCTGGCTCACTTATCCAGTGTTAGCTGAGGAACTGCTGTGTATTCTAGACTCTGGGACACCGCAGGGAACAAGGCAGACAAAACCATTCACACGGAGCTTTTTACACACTGGTTTTCTTCCAACAAAAAAACGTAAGCATAGTCACTGTTTTGCAGTCTTTGTTTTTTCCACCTAACAATATACTGTCACTTTCCATTGTTAATCTATAGAAAACCACAGACTCATTCTTTAAGGGCTTTTGTTGTTGTTTAACCCCCATCCATGGAGATATATATATAAAATGTCTTTATTGACTGCAGAGAGAGGAAGGGAGAGGGAGA